GAGTGGACCATTCATTCAGTGACCAGGCCAACACCGATTGCATGGCCAAGTCCGGGTTAGCAGACTCCTGAGCGGCTGATCATACAGAGCATCCACTGCGAACACACGGCAATAAATAGCGCCAAGTTGCAGCCAGCAGGTCTGCTAAAAAACTCAACCTCGCATCTGACAAGAACACAGGGCCAGGATACACACACGCAATCGCACTTTGCAAAATTGAAAGGCAAGCAACATGATGCGATTTGCCCAACCTTTGTTGTACCCCAATGGGTAATCGATGCTGACCGCCTCCACGTGAAGTTTTTCCAAGCCTTATATATGAGGCTTAATGCGCCGGACCCATCTGCGTTCTCTGACACAAGTTAAGCAAGGAAACTCAAGTCTTCAAGGCACGAGCTGTCAAGCCGGCGTTCAGATGCCCACGCACGGGCGCGGCTGACAAGTTCGTTCAGGCGGTGGTTGTAGGTGGATTCGAACGACTCAAAGCTCTCATGCATCTCAACTGTGTCCAGGATCAAGGACCCCACGCAGTCCCTCCCTGTGCCCAACCAGACACTGTGCAGAATGTCGGGGTACTCCATACTTGGGTGCCAGCCTGGCAAAGCACGGAGCCTCGGACGCAAGCGAATCACCCACACGCGCTCAAATGCAACAGATCACCTGAAACCGGAGCCGGGTGGCGGAATGTCGGGGCCAAAGCCTGAGACAAACATTTAGGGGGACAATATGGGTGTTGAAGTGAATGTGTTGTTGCAAAATCAAAACCGGGGCACATGATTGCTCTGCCTCTGCTAGCTCTTCATCGTTGCAAAATTTCAGATCCCAAACATCCAAGAAGTGACGGCCGGGCCGTCCTGTGCTACATCGTCGGCAAATCAGACCTGTCGATTGGGCTGCAGCATGATGGGAATAGCTACGACTTTCTTGTAACCATTCCTTCTTGAACTTCCAGTCACCTTTTCCCGCCACAAAGAAGCACGACCAGCCACGGGTGGCTGCAGTGGGCCGCGACATATGCGTCGCCATGCTGACAAAGTTTCGTTGCAGCTCCCGAAGTGTCAAATTGACACCTTTTGTGTCATAAGCGTACAGGCGTGCTGGCATCACCTTATAGGCACGCACACGTGCACGCGCCTCATCATGCACAAACGCATGTGAGCGACACATGCTGAAAGAAAATCACATATACCACATATGTTCGACAGCACTGATTGAAAAATGTATCGATATATACGCAAACAGGGATTGATTCTGCACAGTCGAACCGTGCCATGTGCAATTTGGCAGCTCCAGCTCAAAAATCAAGATGTAGCACAAGTGCAATGCTTCGGCAACTCCGGCTCAGAAATCGCAAGTTCTCGCTTTGGACTCGTCTCGTCTGGCGTGGTGGTCTACAACGCTGTCCCGCTCTGATCTCGTTTCTCTGGTTTATATGTTGTTCTACGAAAAAATCTAAATTACATATTCAACGCAGACCGCCGCAATTAACGCGTGCCACGGAGCCGCAAAAGGGAACTTGCTCCTCCATGAAACATCGTGCGCCCCGAGACCTCCACAAATATTGAACTCCATAGTTGCAGCATTGAGGCAAGCGCACACACACACACACGCGCACAATCCCACGATCGCCTGACCACGACAGCACCAACAGCGGCTTCTTCTTCTTGGACTCCCCCTCATCTCCGTGAAACGTGGCCGCCATGGTGCGAGCTTGCTGGTCAACCGGCAAATCCTGCGCCGGGTGATTCCTTGGCGCAGCACGTTCACGCAATGAGTGATCATGTCCATCACACAGGGTGCTGGAATCGAGTCGCTGCCCCCATCGCTCCGACTTGGCGGAAGCCCAGAACTCCAACCAGTCTAGGTCACCACTCCTTAGATCCGCAAACGTACTTGCAAGTAAAAAATAAACGCAACACACATTTGTCCTATGCGTGGCAGCTCAGTGTCACCAGCCTGAGCTGATCAGCCTTGCACATGCCCACCAGAAGGCTGTGCGGGTTAATCACAGGCCACTCGCGGTAAACGATCCGCGGAGATGTGTCTGCAGCCTTCTTTGTCAGGCGGGCCCGCCCGTTCTTCGCCCTTGCCTTCTTCTTCGCCTTGGAGCCCCGTGGCAAATTCTTAACATCCGCCACGGGCAAGATCACATAGGATAATCCACACTTGATGGTGACATCCTGGGCAGAGCATGACATGCAAAGCCGCACACCTAGCCATTAAAGCAAGGCACATCTGTCGACTTCTGCAAGGCCGAGTGCAAAGCAGCCTCACAGGACTTAACGTCGCGCCTTTTGGCCGCCCACCTTGTACCTTGGCGAGCCAGTCTGGCTAAGGTGAGAGCCCGACACAACCCGGCCGCAAAACACAAAATACACGTTGCAGCCAGCATTCTTGGTGTTACATTGGATGGCCCCGCTTCATCCACGCAAGCAGCAGCAACTTGCTGCACAATTCGCGCTGCCTGGCCCCTGCCAATTTGGTCGGCTGCAAACTGTAGAAGAGGGCTGTCCTTCAGTGTTGGCCGTGTGGGCGA